GAGAGAGAGAGAGAGAGAGAGAGAGAGAGAGAGAGAGAGAGAGAGAGGCCTCTCTCTGCAGTTTGCCAGTCTTTGTTTACTCTCTGCCAGCCATAAACTGTTCACTAATAGCTGCTACACACACCTCACTCGGTCAACAAAGCATTAGGTTGTGTGTGTGGGGGGGACTCCCGACTTTTCTAGCCAGGCACAGTTGGTCCTAAGTCTGAGTGGCTTCGGAGAATTAGACATGCAGAGGCGGTTTTAACAGAGCGCCGGCGTGGAAGCCCCGGTGGTGTTCAATACAGCAGCAGCAGACCCGATGCTGCAATGCGCTCCTCACCGAGCAGGTCGGTCCGCCGAGAGAACAGCATCTTCAAAGCTCTGTGTGTGCATGCTTGTGTGTAGGCTACGAGGTGGAGGATACTGCCAAGAAACAGAAAACACGTCTCAATATAAAAACTAATAATATCTTCTTTTTTTAAAAGTGTAAATAAAACAGTATTTATTCAAATTTGTATATGTATTATAAATACATATATGTATTTTGTATGTATTAGTTAAGTGGTTCATTACACTATTGTAGTGCCGTTAGACCGTGTAGGCTACTATGTGTATGGCCTATTGTATAAATGAACATCTCAGCAATTTCCCATTAAGTAGGCTATAAGTGACCATCTCTGTCCCCTTCAGAAAAGAATGAATGAAGCCCTCCACGCTACCCCGGCAGAATAGCTGCACCAGCAGAAATACGACTGAGCAACTGAGCTGACTTGTATTAAAGCCAGATCACCACTCGTCTCTCTTTGTCCTTTGTATGAATGTGTGAATAAAGATATTTTCCCACCAGGAGCTGTCAGCAGCCGGGACACGGAGCCATTTAATCTTCCTATATGACAGGGGGGGGGGGGTCTGTCCCCGGTAACCGACATACGCACACACGGCGACCCAACACCGCCTCTACTGCCTCTCCCGTTACAGCTCAGCGATCGAGTTACGCGGCCGGGGAAAAAAATGTTGCAGTAGCAGGGGGAGAGAGAGGGGGAGATAGAGAGAGGGGAGAGAGAGAGAGAGAGAGAGAGAGAGAGAGAGAGAGAGAGAGAGAGAGAGAGAGAGACTGCAGCATCGCTGGAGATCGGCAGCAGCAGTCCCAAGCAGTGCAGGTGAGAGGAGGGGAAAAAAGCAGGAGGAGGCGCATGTGGAGGAGAGAGAGAGAGACACACACACAGGGAGAGAGAGAGAATGCGGGACTCTTGGAAAAAGACGCATCTACTACACTCGGTCCGTCACCGAGACATCCATCCCGAACACAGGCTGCATGGGATTACGCTGGATCGACGACGATGCTGAGGATGTTGGAATCTCCACTCTAACCCCACCGAGAGAGGCTCTAATTTGTTTTTGTTTGATGAGGGGAAAAATAAGAAATATCAGGAGAAACTCGCTCTGAAAAGCACTCTTGTCTCCTTCGCAACTTGCGTGAAGGAATTATTCGGCTTGGCACGTTGCTCCACTGCGGGGAAGAGGGGAAAAATAGGAAAACGCAGCCAATTCTGAAGGTAAGATCCAAGCAGCAGCACCCCAAAGACTTTTTTTAATATTTCTTTTTTTTTTTTACCCAAACTGACTTTCATTCCTTATTCTGGGGATGCGAGTTCATTCTCATCGGCGTCCGGAGAGCTGAGCAGTGTGTTTTGCTTCTTTTGTGTGGTGCTGCATTGCAGTTTCTAACTGTGAGAAAGCCGCTGTCCCAAATGTGACTGGAATAAAAACAATTTAAAAATAATTTACAAATGGCATTGTGAGCTGATAACCATCTTGACAGCGGAACAGCTCTCCGATTTCCGGGAAATAAAGAAGGAGTGAAGTGATTTAATCAAACGCTGGTGAATTAGTTTACTTTTTTTTCGCAGCAGGATGGGCTTTTTGACATGTTTGTGGCGTGAACAGCCCGGCAAGACCTTATTATTATAGAAGTTGGGGGGGAGCACCGCAGAGTACAGGAGGAGAATAAAAAAAGGAAAAGGAATCCGCACCGCTTAAGTGAACTATACGGTGAGAGTGCGGGAGCAGTTTCCCCGGACCTCAGGCGTCAGTCCGCAGAGAGCGATAGAGAAGAAGGTAAGAAACGGATAAATCAAACACCCACACTGTGAGCCGCACCGGACCACAAAGCACCAATAAAGAGGAGAGGAGCCGCGGCTCGGAGGCAGACAGCGGAGAAGGAGCGAGAGAGAGAGGAAGAAGAAGGAGCCATGCAGAGGCTTGGCGCAGTGCACTCCGCGGCGCAGGCTCTCAGCCTCGTGGTCCTTGCGCTGCAGCTGCTGACTCAGCTGCCGGGCGCCGAATCAGCCCTCCGCTACCGGGTGGCGGAGGAGGGCCCGCCTGACGTCAAGATCGGCAACGTGGCCGCCGACCTTGGCCTCACTGCGGGCACGGGCAGCGGAGACGTCACCTTCGCCCTGGAGAGCGGCTCAGAGTTCTTCAAGATTGACAACGTGACAGGTGAACTGACGACGGGTGCGCGGCGCATCGACCGGGAGAAGCTCCAGCAGTGCCAGATGATATTTGACGAGAACGAGTGCTTCTTGGACTTCGAGGTGTCAGTGATTGGCCCCCTGCAGAGCTGGGTGGACCTGTTTGAGGGCCGCGTGGTCATAACTGACATCAATGACAACACACCTTCCTTCCCCTCACCTGTGCTCCAGCTCTCGGTGGAGGAGAATCGTCCAATAGGAACCCTTTACCTGCTGCCCACAGCAACGGACAGGGATTTTGGACGGAATGGCATCGACCGCTACGAGCTGATTCAAGATGGCACGACTGGGCCGAGTTCCACGAGACGCACGGCAGCAGGGAACCCCATCGCTAGAGTGGAGGGGCTCGGGGACCGGAGGGGTAGAAGTGGCGATAGTGGAGGAGGACCCAGGAGCACTGTGTTTGAACTGCAAGTTGCAGATATACCAGATGGCGAAAAACAGCCGCAGCTCATTGTGAAAGGCACATTGGATCGCGAGCTAAAGGACTCGTACGAACTGGTCCTCAGGGTTCGAGACGGAGGGAACCCACCACGTTCCTCCCAAGCCCTGCTTCGCGTTTCCATCACTGATGTGAACGACAACAGCCCGCAGTTTGAGAGGTCCACGTACGAGGCAGAAATGGCAGAAAATGCCCCTCCAGGTACACCCGTCCTCCAGGTCAGAGCTTCCGACCGCGACATTGGAGTCAACGGGCAGGTGGAGTACGTCTTCGGAGCGGCCACCGAATCCGTCCGGCGACTCCTGCGCCTGGACGAGTCCACTGGATGGCTGAGCGTCCTCCACAGGATCGACAGGGAAGACGTGGCGCAACTGAGGTTCACAGTGACGGCAAGAGACCGGGGTCAGCCACCCCGCACCGACCGCACCACTGTGATTTTGGCCGTCCGGGATGAAAACGACAACGTGCCCGTCGTGGAGATCCGAAAGATCGGACGGATCCCGGTCCGAGATGGTGCAGCGTTGGTGCCGGAAAACGTCCTGGTGGACACCCCCGTGGCTCTGGTTCAGGTGTCAGACCGAGACCAGGGAGAGAATGGGGCCGTGACGTGCACGGTTGTAGGAGATGTCCCATTCACGCTGAAGCCAGCTGGTGAAACGGCGCTACCGCCACTACCTGCAGACGAAGCCTTTGACAGGTAAGCCAAACCAAAGGTAACACCTCACGGCATGTTACAAAAATCCATTACAAAGGAAAGAACGAACTGCTTATTGGTTAGTAGTTCCTGAATTACTCTGAAATAAAGGATTATATGCAAGATAATAAGTTACTAAGAAAACAGACTGCTAGATACTGAAGTAATGAACCAGTATCTAATGATCAGCCGCTGTCAGTCGGGTATGGATGATGCACCACTTTTTCTTGAGGGAGCCAAGTAATGATGAGGTAATCATGAAGAAATGATGCTTTTTAAATAATAGCTCAGTATAATGCCCCATGTTACCTGAGGGGGCACAGAAACAACTATGTACATAATAAGCTACTAATATTTGGATATGTGCCATTAAGCACCTGAATTGCAGATACCAAGAACAATTCATTTAAAACTGTTCTAATTCGTTGAGGGAATGGCCATAATGATTAGATACACAGACATCATTCATGGAGAAACAGTATGTATGTCTTTTTTTTCTTTTATTTCTTTTTTGTTTTACCAGAGGCTGGTACTGTTTTTATCCAATATGTTTTCTAACCATGCCAACTACACATTCAGCATGCAGTTGCTACAAGTCTCACCCACACTACTGCTCCAGGAGGAATTACTACAATTTCTATTTTCTCCAGCGGATTCCGAGGAGAGTGGAGTGTTGTTGCGTTGAGATTTAATCTAAGCTTGGTTCAAGTGGTGCAAGTCATTTGCTAAGGCTACAGAGTAGTTTGAATGTCATACAATCTGTATGCATAAATATTCATTCAAGTCAAGTTTTTTATTTATATCGCTACTACAGTGCAGGCTGTAAATGTCAGGACCCTTCAGTCAATTGTAAAGATATTTCCTAAAGGTATTGAATGGAGGGAGTGAGGGAAATGGCGTAGGCCATCTTAGGATACCACTGCCACAGCTATGACACCTGTGCAATAAGGCTGGTTGTTGTATTGACTTTAGGGCTGTCCTTGACAAAGGAAAGTCTGAGTCAGAGTAGCTAATAATCATGATAGGTCTTCAGCAAATTATTAGTAGATTTAATTTTTTTTGAATCAGTCACAGTTTCCCCAGTATTATTGTCTCTCTGCAGATGACTGCAGTCATGCAGGAAGATCTCTTGAAATCAATTGTGTCTTATTAAAGAACAAAGCATTTTAGAGCTAAAAGGATTAGTTGGTTGATCGATTTAGTCGATTCAAAGAAAATTGATTGCCAACCACTTTCATGATCAATTAAGGGTTTCAGACATTTTTCAAGCAAATATTCCAGTAATTCTCTGGTCCCTCTCCAGATGCAACGACAGACTTTATTAGTCCTTTCAACCTTGACAAAGGCAGCGCAGGCCAGATACCCTCCTTCCGCTCTTACCTTTCACAATAAAAGCCCTAAACATAAACAATACATTGCCTAACTGTTTAACAGAATCAGGACTCAAATTCACTCAGATAAAAGGAAACTTGATAAAATAGATTACAATATCTTAGGCTATGAAACAATTGACCTCAGCCAGACTGACAGACGCTGCTCTGGGTCAATAGGATTCCATTTGTTGGTGCATAAATCTATTTGAACCTTTTATTGAAAAAGTGCTGCAAAAGTTGCAAATTCATAGCTTCCGGTATGAATAGTTTTGATGCTAAATATCCGTATTTCGCATTTTCGTGTCGTTTATTCGTCACGCCCCTTAAGTGTAAAGGCCTTTTAGGATGTCACCTTCACTATTTTCTGGTATTTTGTTAGTATAAATTAGAACATTCCCCACAAAAAGACCAACACAATGGTCACTGGTAAAATATTGTTTCAGTCTACCGACATCTTGGTGAATGATAAGTCAACTAATTGACTAAAAGGCAGCAGCACTAGTATTTTTGTTTGACAATATCTGTATTATTTTTGTCTACGGTAACAACCAAATTCATGAAATCTATTTTCTAATTATTTTCACAGGAATAAGAAAAAATACTTCTTGCATACTTCCGCCTTGCTGGACTACGAGGCCACCAAAGAGTACAGTGTCACCATTGTGGCAGTAGATTCTGGCAGCCCCAGCCTGTCCAGCAACAGCTCACTGATGGTGCGAGTGGTGGATATCAATGACCATGCCCCGGCCTTTGCCCAGAGCGTCGTGGAGGTCCACTTTGCTGAGAACAACTCGCCTGGTGAGAGGGTAGTTACTGTTTTAGCCTCAGACGCAGACAGTGGCAAGAACGCGGAGATCGCATATTCCCTGGACACTGCTGGAAACGGGCCATTCTACATAGATGCAAATAATGGAGATATCCGTGCCACCGGGGTTCTGGACCGCGAGCTGCGAGAGAGGTATGAACTCAGGGTGATTGCCAAGGACAAGGGCACACCTTCCCTGCAAGGCTCCGCGACTGTTGTCGTTCAGGTGACCGACCGCAACGACAATGCCCCAAAGTTTGTTCAGGAAATCTTCACATTCTACGTGAAAGAGAACCTGGCCGCCAACAGCGCAGTCGGCATGGTCACCGTGACTGATGCCGACGAAGGCGAGAACGCAGAACTCAGTCTGTTCGTGGAGATGGATGGAGTCGATGAGAAGAAGGCGGAGGAGACGGTGGAAGGCGAAGATGGCGAGAAAGAGAAAGAAGAGGTGTTTTCCATTGAGAACAACACGGGAACTATCTACTCTTCGGCGTCGTTTGACCGAGAAAAGCTTTCCACCTACACCTTCCGTGTCCGCGCTGTGGACGGAGGGGAGCCGCGCAAAACATCAACCGCCACGGTCTCGCTCTTTGTGACGGATGAGAACGACAACGCCCCCTCAATCACTTCCCCAGCAAATGAGTCCTACACCCTCCTTCCACCTGCCAGCAGTGCCCGCACTATCGTCAGGACCGTGACCGCCATAGACTCCGACACCGGCCCCAATGCAGACCTTCGCTATGCCCTAGTGGGGGGAAATCCCTTCCAACTGTTTGAGATCGGCCACACCAACGGGGTGATCACCCTGGCAGAACCTCTGGAGCGGCGCCACCGAGGCCTGCATCGCCTGGTGGTCCGGGTCAATGACAGCGGGGCGCCTTCCCTCTGTGCCACCGCCCTGGTTCATGTCTTCATCAACGAGAGCTTGGCCAACGCCACCCTAGTGGATGTTCAGGTAAGCTTAGTATTTAAAGATGTAAAGTGAAATATATCAAAATACATGTAACTTGAATGAAAGAAATCCACTGTGCTATTTTGGCGTGTGTGCGGTAACGATAACCCATAATGACAGCGATGATATTGTCCTTTGATCCATTCACATAATGGCCACTCGGATAACACATGACAATGGAGGAGGGCGGTAATGACAACTGATTGTGGCTGTTTAAACTAAACTGGTAAGAAGATTATTTTCTTGACAGAATGAGACGAATACACAATTTCATCAGTCCGCATGGTGTTGCAATTTTCTGCCCATTTTTGAGGAAATAATTGCGTCTATATTTGTCCCAGATAAAGAAGACCATTCCTCTTTTGAGGGCTATTGGCAATGCCTGCTTCTTTGTAGTTAGAGTGTTCTTTGTACAGAATCCATTCTTATAATGACCACGTGGTTAAAAGAAGTGTTATTACTGAGTGGTTCTTCTTTTATGGTACATTGAACTCAGAGCTGAGAGCATTAGGTGTGTGTGTGTGTGTGTGTGAGAGAGAGAGAGAGAGAGAGAGAGGGAGGGAGAGAGAAAGAGCATTAGATGTGTCTGTGTGTGTGTGTGTGTGTGTGTGTGTGTGTGTGTGTGTGTGTGTGTGAGTGAGGGAGAGAGAAGGAGCATTAGATGTGTCTGTGTGTGTGTGTGTGTGAGTGAGGGAGAGAGAAGGAGCATTAGGGGTGAGTGTGTTAGAGAGGTAGAGAGAGAGATGGCCCTGTCCCAGTTTTTGCCTTTTAATACAGAATAGGTTGAAGCATGTTCATTTGAATAGAAGTTTTGCTTCAGTAGTGTCTCTTCACGATAGGCCTGAATATTGATGAGCTTTCATTGTGTTATGCAGCAAACTCTGAGCAGAGCAACAGAAGTGGGCAAACTTAGAGAAAACCCCTCCAAGCTCTAAATGAATTATGTTTACAGCAGGATTAAAGTGAAATACTTGAGTACTAGGTTAGCGTTGGCATGAAAGATCCACGCTGAGGTGAAGAGGTAATTGACTAGACTCACTGCAGATACCAGAAATACCTTTCAGTTCAAATTTAGCGTACGGTACGCTGCCGGAAATCTTTCTCTCTTCTCTGCCCTCATTGTATTAATCAAATGTACTTCCTATTATGCTTTAAAAAATGTTCAACGAAGCTATAATTGCTGGCAGGTAATAATTACTAAAACTTGGGTCTCTGGTGTGGGCAAAGTCATTTGTATTGACTTATAATTAAATCGCCTCAGTGGCCTTGTTGCTCTGAAACTTGCAGCCTGGGGTTTTTAACCCCCCCACACACACACACACTCACATACTCAAAACTTTGTTTAGAACACGTTCTCTCTGAGGGAAAAGGTCTTCAGCTGTCAGGTCTGTGCATGTAACATGACGTAAGGAGTGTGAGCCGAAGTCAGCGCAAAGACTTTTGAGAGGAAAAGAGATAAGAGGCAGAAATTTCCCAAAAGTGTGTCAAACGAAGTTTGTGTTGGCAACCCAAAATACCACGCCAGCCTTGAATACCTTAATAGGCTCCTTTTTGTATCAACATGCTCAAAATACAAAAAGTGTTTCATTGCATTCTGTCTCAACCCAGATAGTGATCTCCAAGGAAGACACACCTTACAGCGCAGATGTTTGCAGCAAGGGCCTCTTTACTGCAAGCTGTGCACGTTATGATTATTTGTGGTGCCTCCCCGGGTGTTTCTACTCGTGAAAAAACAGAAGCCCCTCTGGGATTGGATATTTCCAAGTGCGTAATGTCAGCTTCAGCTGATTTCTCATTTTCAATGATGTTAGAAGAGCAGGTCGATATGGCCAAACTCTTCTATCCCAATATAGGTAATTTCATATCTCGGTATACATCACAATATAGCATGTTTTCAGATAATTCAATTAATAAATAGTCTATATGAAATAACTACATGGTAAAGTGTGTATACTGAGACCTTCAATGGACATAAATGAAATGTAATTGCGTATTAAGATATCTCGATATGTGATTTCCACACAATACTATAGCATTGAAAGACGATGACTCATCAAACTGAATCACCGCCCAGCTCCAGATGTTACTGTGCAGCTCTTCTTGGCGGTAGCATAGCAACTACAATAACACTGTGCTCTGTGTGCCCCTTGGGTTCTTGGGACTCTCGATACTTACAGCTAAATCTCGTGTTTTGGCAGGAGAAAAACATCCGGTGTAATCATAGCCTTAGAGTTTTGACCCACCTCATATATCGAGACAACTTGGGGTCCAAAAATACGTTGTGTTTCCCCGCACTGCTTTTTTGAAACAAAGACGAACAACTGAGCACAGACAGAAGGTGTAGCATATCGAGCACCAGCCAGTGTGTAGAACGCCTCATAAATGTAACGCTGTCACCTAAGAGTAGAATGAAAAGTACAAATTGAACAATCAAGTTGGTGAGGATTAGAGCAGAACACTTGGTAAGCGGCGGAACAATAGTGTTGACAGGCAAATTAACCACAACGTGCATAAATGGCAGAGGCCATTGAAGGGAACAATAGGATGTAATGTGTCCGGGCCGGTATAAAAGCCGCCTTTTGATTACAATATGCATAGTTTAGTTGGATTGTATGGAGGAACTGGGCAGAGTAATTGAGTAGAAGTCATTGAAGAGAGAATACCTCCATCTCATATTGAAGTCAAACCGAGTGGTGGATGGATGCCAGATGTAATTAGGGGAGGAAAACGTCTGCTACTGCTGCAGCGCCGCGGCAGAAAATGACTCCAGTCTTTTCCATCCGAACGGTACTGGGTGAACCACATGTTGGTAATTAGCCACAATATGATACTGCAGAGATTGAGCTGGAGGAAGTAGTTGTGATATGCGAGACTTGGTTGTCATTTGGGAAAATGTAAGGTGCTTTGTACATCGGAAGTATGCTGTCTGGTGGATCTGATTAAGGCTCTTAGTGATGATATTTTCACATTCTTACAACCACTGTTTCATCTCGGATCAAAAGTCTTTTAATTTTTTTAATCTGGAAATAGTTTTTAGATATGCACAATCAGCTTTCTTTGAATATGAATAATAGCTAAGAACTACCAAACTGCAGGTCCCTATCACCAGGCATTGATTGACATCCGAGATCAGGCACCTTTGGGTCAATAGTGTGGTCAGGGTAGAACTCCTCGTCTTAGTAGCAGCATCGGCGTCTGCAGCGACAACGCAGATAACCGAGTCCTTGGAGAGCGGAGGGGATAAGATAGAGAGATGGATGGTGGTGTTAAGCCCGGGCCGGAACAAAGCCCATGCAGCAGAACGGAAGATTCCACTGGGAGTTTGGGATGCGTCAGAGGGATGCACTCGGAACACAGCATTAGAGGCGGCTGCTGAACACTTTAACAGTCTCCACACAAATGCTGCACACGCACCTGCACTTGAACGGGCTATACGTGGCTTGCACGCGGCGTGCGACTTGTCTCACATTTTCTGCATGCACACTTGGCGGTTCGGTCGCATTAGGGTACGTGCATACGGCACTGCGTCTCTATTTTCTCTATGTTTCGCACACACGTGGTACGGCAGACAGTGCAGGGGAGCGCTAAGCCAGAGAGATGCCCAGCAGAATGAGAATGGAAAAGAAAATACTGCAGGCAAAGGAAGAACAATGGGGCTGAGAGGAAGAGAGCGGAGCCTGGTGGAGAGAGGCCCTCTGCAGTGGAGGCAGAATAATGGAACAGAAGCAACACAAGTCGCTCAAAAAAAGACAATGAAACTTAACCCAGAGATAGATGGCGATGAAACAATGAAATACGACCCGGCCCCGTTCTTAGCTGGGGGGGGGGGGGGGTAACGAGAAGTGAGAGTGACTAATGTGTCTCCGTACGAGTAAGCCCAATAATACGTCTTGGATAATGTAATAGTAGAGTTCCGCGGTGCAGCAGTGTGAGCGGCGCTCTCTGGAGTAACACTCAAGGTTATACCGCAGTTATTTTATTTAGTTATTGGCCACCGTAGGGGGCTGAAATGCAACTTCTCTCTCACCTTCGCTCCCTGTCTCTCCCGCACTCGTTCCTGCGAGAGCTTTATTACCCAGCGCTCTGAAGGCACCAGGGATTACGCGAGTGTATAATTTCCAGCCTTGGCAGGCCAAAGGAATTGTCGCGCGGGGCTCCGAGACGATGTGTCAGGGCTGCAGAATGGGTCGTCTCGCTAATGGACATAGCTTACACACACACACACACACACACACACCGTGTGGGCCGGCGTATGAGCATGCATACGTTTCAGCGTGCGTGTGTGCGTTCTCGTTGTTCGTCTGGTCTCCTGATAATGATTCTCCCCAACATAGTTGCCATGTATTGATTAGACATATTCAGATTCATGACCCTGACCCATACAAGCAGAGCTCGGCAGACCAGAACTCCACAGCCTCATTGTCTATTGTAGTGCGTGTCTCCATAACCAGTAATGGCTGTTTGTGCTTCAGCATAACCCACTTTCTTGTAATGATGCTTTTATTAGAGTACAATCTGCGAGCATGACTTTGTGTGTGTGTGTGCAGCCAGCCATAAACATGGGTTCATAATGGAAGACCATTATTTGTCTCCTCCATCTCAAACCTAAACACGAAATGTTTTATGAGCCTAATATAAATTGATCAGAGTGGACGATCATGGATTTGCCTCGCTTTAAAAAAATGAAAACTGTTACTGTCCAACAAACCACAAGACCCTGAGAGACAGACAGGACACGGCTCTCGAAATGATTCCACAGAGCACACGCATTTACAGTAGCCTTCTATCTGTCCATCCATCAATCCAAGTCTCAGTGCGGAAGAAATTGCGATAGCAAATCCTCAGCAAATCCACGCCCACGCTATCATTTACAATAGGGGCATTGTTCTTTGACGAGACAGTAGATGTGTTTGTGTTCTGGGGGGATATAGTCGCAGCACGTCTGCTGCCTTTATTCGCACATTTATCGACTGTTTCTCACACTTTTTTTTCTCTCTCCCAACTGTCCCCAACCCTAAAGTTTCCCTTTATTCTTTTAATCAGCTTGAAACAGCGTAATCCCAGACATTTCCTGTACCAGCGCAGATGATGTGAGATCACAAGCGGAGAAATTACAGGCGCTATTTGAAATGCTGCAACTGGGTAGCAAGAGCAATTATATATTTAGTGACATTCTATGTGTCGTGGAATAATGGAGAGGCTCCCCTACTAAAAATCACGTTGATGAGTTTAATTAAGTGGAAGATGCTGTTTGATGTTTCTCTGTGGCTCGCACCCACTGTGTCGTCTTCTAGAGTCACAGTTGGACTTTTTTTTTTTCCTCATTTATGGTGTGTCTCTTCTTGTTGCTTTTTCCATCTTGACTCTGCGTCTTCTTCTTCTCTCTTGTGCCTCTCCTCTCTACCTCTCCCCGCTACCTCTCCCCCCAGGTGGCCCGAAGTCTCATGGCTCCACTGTCCCTGGACATCGCAGGGGACCCGGACAGCGACCGTGCTTTAGGGAAACAGCGTCTCAGCGTAGCCATCGGCGTCCTGGCGGGAGCCGCGGCGGTCATCCTGGTCATCCTGCTCGTAGTCACGGCTCGGCAGTGCGGCGCTCAGGGCAAGAATGGCTACGAGGCCGGTAAGAAGGAGCCAGAGGAGGACTTCTTCAGTCCTCCGGGGGCTCAGCCGCAGGCCGGCCGCGGCAGGGGGTCGGACCGTGGGCGCAAACCCCGACGGGACAAGCGCAACGGAAGCGGCAGCAGCGCGGTGGTGGTAGGAGGCAAGGCGGACAGATCCCTCTACAGCGGTATTGTCACAGTCAACGGACTGCGTCGGCAGGCCAACGACGACGACGAGGAGGATCTGAGCAGCGCCAGCGAGCGCCTGGCGGCCCGCTACTGCGCCATGGAAGGCGACCCCGGCAGCCCACGGATGGGCGGCGGCAGGAGGCACCAGTCGAGCCCGGACCTTGCCAGGCACTACAAATCCAGCTCCCCTCTCCCCGCGGTGAACCTGCAGCCCCACTCCCCCCCAGCCGAGGGCAAGAAGCACCAAGCGGTCCAGGACCTGCCGCCCTCCAACACCTTTGTGGGCAGCGGGGGCTGCGTGGGGAGCGCCGGCTCCAGCAGCAGCAGCAGCGGGGGCAGTGGCAACGCGGACGCCATGTCCCTGGGATCTGACCAGTGCTCGGACTATGGCTGCCAGACTGGGAACAAGTACAGCAAACAGGTAGGAGCTCTGGGGCAGGGACTTGGGTGACTTAGTATCCATGGACCCGTCAGTGTTTTTGAGATTTTTAAGATGGATTATCGACTCTTTATGTCAATCCGTCTTCAAAACCAGCCATTTTTGACACTGTGTCCACTCTCTCGTCTCCTCCTCCTCCCCGGCTTCATCTCTTCCCCTCCACACATCCGTCGACACGCTCGAACGCGACACCCCGCCGCTAACGTCTTAAACACCATTTCATCTCCACAAAATCGCTGACAGCGCGCTCGCGTGTGTGTGTGTGTGTGTGTGTGTGTGTGTGTGTGTGTATAACACATGCGTACCCTCTGTATAAACCCCTGAGGATCTCAGTTGGAGTAAGGACACAGAGGGAGTGGGCGAATAGTTGCTTCCAGCAGGGTAATTGGTCATTTTGCGTCTCTGCCTCCCTTGTTACGCTGTTATCTTTCTCCATTTAGCATATATGCTTATTCCGTAAACAATATTAGTTGTACTGATAATGAATGCACCGGCTTTGGTGTTTGCTCGAGAAGCTCCAGCTAAAAGTCGAAGTCCTGCTGACAAATAAAATACTGCGCGCAGACAGTTCGCTCGCCCCTCCGCCCACACGCACACACACACACACACACACCCACACACAGGCACCATCTATCATCTTGGACACACTGACACAGTAGGGTCCCCCTGGTCCGCGGCGTGTGCTCCCGAGAGCGATGCGTGAGTGACAGCTAACCCTTCTTAAAGGGCCGGCGTCTCGTTTCCTTGACAGACAGCCCCTACATTTATCCTCCCCGCGGTGAAAAAAGTGCTGATGTAGTCATTAAAAAAGGAAGTAGAGGAGCTTCTTCTTAGGCTAATCAATTCACACGCGGGGCTCTCTGATCCTGTTCAACACGCGCACACACACACACACGCGGAGGTTAATCCATTACAGAGTCAATCCGCTTAATCTGCCGTTCCCAGGGAAAGAAAATGCTTACTGGGAGAGTTTGGTGTTCATGCTTACGTGCACTCAAAACATGCCAGCACACATACGGAGACGCGTAGACACAAACTGACAGCGTAATGAATTATTGATCGTATGGGGTAATTAACTCCTCTGCAGCAGTGAAGTGTGCCCCCACCCCCACACCAATACACAGGCCTGTGTGTACGTGTCTAAGACTTTGGGCGCTCACATTCACTAACGTGTCAAAATCTGTTAACTCCAGCAGTTTGGCGGCAGGTTTTGTGTCTGCGGGAGTCTGTCACCCGCGCTTGAGGGACTGCTTATTTCACGACGGCGTTTTTATATGTGAGTGCAAGTGAGAGATAGACTCGGGGAGTAATATGTGGCGAGTACGTGCCAAATGCAGGAACTGGGACGCCGACAGAACTTGGAAAAGCATTAGACCGGGAGTGGGAGAGAATTATAGGAGGTTAGGGGGGAAAGAAGACAGAGTAAACGAGAAGGGGAGGGAGGGGAGGTGGGGGGGAGGAGAGATAACATTTCAAAGCTACTTTACTGGGTCAGTGAAAACTCCCAAAAACTGCTCATCTGAAGTCAGCACATCATCATCAGACCAACTAGGATGCTCCCAATAGAAAGAAAAAAAAACTGAAATGAAAACAATTGATAAAAACCGGGCGTCATGGATGAAGCGCAACATTGCATTAAAGAGGCATGATGAACATGATAAAACAGCTCAGTCGACTCTCTTATTTTAATCAAAATTGTTCACAGAGGAGAAGGAAGAACATCCATATCAATGGGAACAAATGAACACAAAGATGAACAGGAGATGAGAGTGTTAAAGAGGGGGGGGGGGGATGTTTCCTGGAGACTTTTGTTTTGATACAAGATAGAATAATAGCATGATCGTATTTGTTAAATACAATCCAGAAACGTCTCACGTACAAGAGCCAAGCATGGTGAGATTTTTGGTTTGTTGCGCCGTCCGTTTGACAGCTGGTGTCTGTGTGTGTGTGTGTGTTTTGAATTTTGATTAAGGGGGATATGTTTCGATATTAGTGCCAATATGATACCCGAGTTTACGTCCAGATAACAAAAGGCACCTTATTAGAAACCTTACTCGTTTCTCTACAACAAAAAATAAGCTAAAGTTCTTAAATGTTAAATGTCATCTAATTACAAACAGAGAAATAGATGAAGTCTGAAATATGCAAAATTGTCATTGAAGCATTATATTATTTTAGTGGATACCAGAAAAGTATGGAGGTTCGATAGCCCTCATTGCTGATGGAGAAAGTGTAAAGGAGAAGGCTGGAGTATTTGCTTCCAAGTGGGAGAGGCAGGGAGGAAGTGAGAGAGCGAGAGAGAGAGAGAGAGAGAGAGAGAGAGAGAGAGAGAGAGAGAGAGCGAGGCCTGGTTTGGGTGGCAGCCAGAGAGAGAGTGGACTGCTGAGATGTGGGTCATCAGGATACCCGTTGGCATCAGGACACATTAATGATCACAGCAGTCACATGGCACTGCAGTCAATATGGGCAAAGTGGCCTCGTTCTGCCCTCTAACCGCCACCACGCACACACACAACACAGGCTCCGCCGCAAAACCGCTTCCCCTGTCAGCCGCCCTCCATCAACCACAACAAAGGTCATAGCGGTTGTTTTTGATCTTGTTGTGCTTCAGTTTTGTCTGCTTTTAATCTGATGCTTTTCTTTTCATTGAGGCGTGTCTCCAGTAACGGTTTCTTTATTTTTTTTACCCGTCCCTTTGACTCTCGCCCTTCGCTCCTCCTCTGTCGCTCTCTGGCCCTCTTTCTTTACCATTAAAGACCC